AAAATTGAATAGATAATTTTTTTGAACAGTGGATTGATTTCTTCAAAATGAGAATTTGAACATATAAGTTAAAATGAGAATTTTAATATTTTGAGAAAGAGAAAAGAGAGGTGTAAAAATTGAATAGGCAAAAAATAATTTGAACAGATAGATATAAATTTGAATAAATAGTAAAAAAAAGTTAATAGATAAATTAAGGGGTAAAACTGAAAATAAAATGTCCTTCAAAACAATAAAAATGATTTCTCACTAAACTATTTCACAAATGGTAAACCTCTTATCACCAAAAAATATCCACTGGACCTAATGGCTTAGACATTCTCCAAATTGGATTTATCACCAATTTTCTTTGAAAAAAACTCTATTTGCTTGGTTTTGATTTCCAAAATTCAATTTTCAGAAAATTTTACTTGTTTATTTTCTGCATTTTCTTTATTTTCACTAATTTTTTTTAATATTTTAAGCATGTTTTTAATTTTTAGATACATCTAACATAAATATACTTAAAAAGTATAATATTTATGAAAAAAATCTTTAAAAATTTACTAAATACCAAAAATACAAAAAAAATATAAAAATTCAATACATTTTTCATATTTTTGTGTATTTATTAATTTTTTTAAATATTTTTTTTTACAAATATTTTACTTTTTAGATACATTTAAGTAAGGTGCATCTAAAAAAGTAAAACAATTACTTAAAATTTTAAAAATATTCACTAAAAACAAAAAAAAAAGAAAAATAAAAAACTCAATTTTTAGAAAATTGAAACCAAGCACACTAAATAGTATTTTAGCCATTAAATTAAATGTAAGTGTACATAAAATGTATAAAATATATTTTTTGAGTTTAATAACTAAAATATAAAATAAAAAAAATTCATTCGTAACGAAAATAGACAAATAGTTTAGATTGAGAATAAATAATAAATAGAATTTAAATCGACAAATTAAAAAATTTAAGATGTATTTTTTTATAGATTTTTATATATTTTTTTAATAAAGCCATTTTTTATTTTTATTTTTTCAAAAATTTGCATTAGGTATATTGATTATTATTTTACAAAGACCTCGTTTAGGAAGTTACTTATTTTGGTTGGCTTTTTAGCTATTTTAACCTCACTAAAAAAGTTATGTTTGAGAAGTTTGTTTTTGTTTGTTTGTTTGTTTTTTTTTTTTGGTATTTGATTTGATGGTTGTGAGAGAAAAAATAAAATAATTATAGTTTAGATGTGACATTTTATCTTATTGACTACTATAATATATTTTTGTTATTGACTATTTTAGCTTCTAACCTACTCCCCCAAACACTTCCAAAATTAGTAATGCTACGCACACAGAGGACCAAACATAGAGTCAAACACATAAATTGTTCATCCGGTTGGACGACCAGGTGGTCAACTAGCCAGAGCTTGTCGACTGTGACTATCATTTTGTCAACCGTAGTTGTCATCTTATCGACCGCGATTATCATCTTGTTAACTGCGGTTGTTATTTTATTGATCGCGGTTATCATCTTTGTTAAACAGGAAGGCAATCCAAGAGGGAAGGTGAATTGGGTTATTAAAAATTTAACTAAAAATAAAGTTCAAAAGATCTTTATGAAAGCAAATGCCACAGATAAACAAAATAATAACAGAAAGTTAAGAGAATGAGATAGAAGGACTTAACACAGAGATTTATAGTGGTTCGGCTCACGGGCCTACGTCCACTCCTCAAGAATCCTCCTTGAGAATTTCTTTACTAGGAATCAAATCACCACCAGGCTCTTTTAACTTGAGGTTTTGTTTTACAAAAGAACTTACTTCAATCTGTTGAGGAACTCACCCAACAAAATGCCTCACTTGATAAATGTTTCGCTCAAAAACTATGAAACTAAAAGAAAAGGTTCAACTATCCTCTTTTACAAGAACTATCTCTCGGAAGATGGGTAATGAAAGTGTAAGCTTACACAAAGTTTTGGACTTGTTTAAATCTGAAAATGAAAGAAACACAAGTCAAATCACAGATGTGAAAATGATGCTCAGTATGGTTTGTGTAATTTCAGTGGTCTGTGATAATCTGCAGATTTGGAAAAAAATTCCCAATTTATAGCTTTTATCTGACTCAACTCGTTGAAGAAGAAACATAACTGCGTGAGTAAACTATCCGTTGGAGCTGGGCAAGAAAAGATGTTTCTAGCTGTTGTGAGTAGAGAATGTTTCGTGCAGACTGTTTTCTGACCATTGGAGATGGAGCTTCCTCAAAGGAAATGATGCCCATGCTTGGAAGATAATATAATGGTGGAGGGACATAATGTTGTATCCATGTTCTTTCATTTTTCTGATCTTGGAAGAGGTGTGAGTGGAGAATGTTCCCTTCATTATGTCAGAAAATATTGTCCCAATGTTCCTTTTGCTTAGAATAATATATGTCTGAGAATGAAATCATAGATACCCTCTTTGAGTTGGAAGATGGCGGCTAGGTTTTGTTTAACCCAGACATAAGGGTGTCGACCCCTGCAAGTCGGGTGTCGACCCTTTGCTCTGATTTTTCTGTCCTGAGTTTTGTTACATGGGTTCCTGGTGTCGACCCTTGCTGCTGATGGTGTCGATCCTTGCGATTGAAGTGTATACTAATTTTGGTGTCGACCCTTGCTGTTGTTGGTGTTGACCCTTGCATTCGGAACACTTAGTTATTTTTCCAGCTTTTCCTTGGTGTCGACCCTTGCTTTTCTGGTGTCGACCCTCTGTTCTAGAACTTTTAACATTCTTGAGGAATATTTTAGTGTCTATCCTTGGTCATGTGATAGATAATAGATTTTTGCAACCAAGAGCTTATGCTTATATTTTGATAACTTAAAAGATTTTTTGAAACATAATATTCTTGAGTCTTAAAAATAGTTAGAATCATGAAGTACAAATGTTAATTTTGAAAACTTCAAATAATAAAGTGTTTGTCATAAATCAAAATCAAATAGAATTTCAAGCTTGAGTAACCTTTGGGGCTAACAATCTTCTCATCCGGTCGATCACCCGGTCACCCGATGAATAGTTTATATGATTAGTTCTATGTTTGGTTCTCTATGTGCATAGTATTATTGCCCCAAAAATAGGGTATGGGTTGGTACTGTGCCCTTGACACACTAGTAGCTGTTGTGCATCAATTTGATACATATAAAAAATTATATTGATCGGATATTGATAGCTACATGAAGATTGCATATTTTTGATACTATTTTTAAATAATTTTTTTTATGATAAATATAATCTAATCATATAATTATCAATATCTAATTAATATAATTTTTGACATATTTAAAATATTCAACGAATTTTATAAAATCAACAATTCAGCTTATAAAAATAAACTATAATAAACCTTAAAGTAAGATACCATAGTTATTGCTGTGCCCTCTGCCCAACATAATAAAGTGTAAAGGCTCAAATTTCAGCGTTTGGATCCTCTAATCAATTTGGCTCAATTATGTAGGTATGTTTGGTAAATATTCTGTTTTTAGTTTATATTTATAAAAATTTTAAAAATTGTCATAAAAATTTATTTGATAATTTTTTTAGTTTATAAATTGTTGTCTTAATTTATAAATTTAAGGAAAAAAAGCAAACTCAAAAAATGAGTTTACGTTTTCAATTTTTAATTTTTTTTCAAATAATTTTTTTTTCAAATAATTTTTTTTTCAAATAATTTTTTTTTCCAATTTTTTTTAATTAATTTTTTTTCAATTAATTATTTTTTCATATAATTTTTTTTTCAATTATTATTTTTAATTAATTTTTTTTTTCAATTAATTTTTTTTCAAATAATTTTTTTTCAATTTATCTTTTTTTTCAATAAATTTTTTTCCCAATTAATTTTTTTCACTTATTTTTTTCATTTTTTTCCAATTAATTTTTTTAAATTTATTTTTTTAAATTATAATGTGTGTGATTCCATTTTCATAAATAATAAAAATAAATATAAATATTTTAGGTCTGAACAAACATATTTTTTAGTTTATGTTTTTAAATTTTTTTAAACATTTTGTTCAAACTAAACACGTTTATAATTTATATTTTTCTGAAAATAAACAAAAATTAGTTTATAAAATTTTTGTAAACATAGACAAAAAAACGTAAACGTTACCAAACGCTGTCGTAGAGTTAGGAGGGCGGGAATGAATGGCTGCCTCCAGGGCTGAGATAGAGAGAGACATTCCTAAAAATCCAAATTTCGATTCATCTTTGTTCCGTGAAAAACCCCAAAAAAATTAATGGAGAATTAAGGCCTCGTTTGAGAATATGTTATTTTAATAATTTTTTTTTTGTTTTTTAAGATAAAAAAATAATATGTTTAAAATGATTTTTTGGTTTTTTACGAATAGATATATAAAAAGTAGAGAAAAAATATGCTTGGTTATCATTTTTCAAAAACACTTTTCAGAAAATTTTACTTTTTTATTTTCCTTATTTTTTTGTTTTTACTGAATTTTTTTAGTATTTTGAGCAATTTTTTTAATTTTTAAACATACCTAACATACATATATCTAAAAAGTAAAAAAAATTTGAAAAAATCATTTAAAAAATTCACTAAATACCAAAAATACAAAAAAATAAGAGAATTCAATACATTTTTTTTTATATTTTTATGTATTTATTAATTTTTAAAAATATTTTTTCGCAAATTTTTTACTTTTTAGATACATCTAAGTAAGGTGTATCTAAAAAAGTAAAAAAAAATGTTTAAAATTTTAAAAATATTCACTAAAACCAAAAAAATACGAAAATAAAAAAACTCAATTTTCAAAAAACGTAATTTAAAAAACTCAAACCAAATATACTTGAATTTTTAGTATATGTTATAGGCTTTTTAATTTTTTTAATATTTAAACTAAAATAAGCACGTACCAAATGAGGGCTAAATATAAGAAGTTGAAAAAAAAAATTACAAATACATGATGGACAAATGTATCTATAATGAGTGCAAATAAAAGATTATGAAGTGTGTAATTTGTACCCGATCCATATATATTGGTAATTTTTTTTTTTCTCTCCCCCACCTGATGCATGTGGTTTTCCAAAATTAAAAACCAAAATCATCAACAAGGCCCATCAAAATCCAAAGCGCGCCTGGCGCGTTCTTTCTTCCCCTTCGCGATGAGATCTTCTGTGGCTCCTCCTCTTCTTATTTTCTCTTTCTCAGTCTTGCTCTCTATCTTTTCATGCTCAAGCGATGATACTACATTCAACGGTACTTTTTACTTCACATCTCTTTCTCTACTCAAACCATATCTGTGTGTGTCCGATTTTTTAAAACTCTGAGATTTTAGGGTTATGTTGTGCAGTTTTTGATGAATTGATTTGGTGTAGAGGTTTAATTAATCGCGATCTTCAACTGTCGCATATAGGAGATTCATTTAAAATTTTTTTTTTTGGTATGCTAATAGTTCAATTCGTAATTTGTGAGTGCATTTGCAATATGGGTTATATATATAATTATTATTGATTTTTGAATAAAGATCCTTCTTGAATTCCTCTCAATAATTGTACTTTGTTTTTCTCATACACACTTACTCCGGAGATAAGCGTCTTCTAACCAATGTAAGACTATAATGCCTGACTTGATTAATGATATTGTAGGCTACATAACTGCTAGGTTAGGGTCACACATTAGAGTCTTGAAGGAATTGGGCAAGTATCACAATTATCACCCATAACTAATTAGATAAATAATTAATTAAATAAGCAGGTAATATATGTAGATATAGATAAATACAAGGGTTCAATTCATTTTACCCCCTTGTGGTTGGGGCTTGGAGACCTTCCTATGGTTCAAATATAGATAGAAAACCCCCATGTGGTTTTGGCCTAAAGTGCTACCGGTAGTTTTCCGATCCAAACTAACGGAAGGTGCATTACACACCATTTTTTAGAGTGGGTTTGGTTTTTTGAAAAATTAAAGTGAAATTAATACCAAAAAAAAAAAAAAATACCTCCATTTTCTCCAAATTTAAAATTAGATTAATTAATTAAAATTAAATAAATTAAAATATTATTAAGAATTGATCTAAAATATAAAATATTATGAAGAATTGATTTAAAATATAATTAAATAAAATATAAAATAAATAATAATCTAAGAAGCATGGACACGGACACGTGACACGACACGGATACGACACGGACACGCCGACACGATAATTTTCAAAAAATGTAGGACACGACACGCGGGGGACACGCATGAAATATATAATTTTATATATTTATTATATGTTATATATATGAATATATCATTCAAAAATAATAAAAAAATGCAATATGACATTAATCCCTATAAATTTATATGATTTTTGTTTTATTATTGTATCTTAAGTTGTTTTGTTCAAACTTATAATTAGTTTCACATGTGTCTAATTGATAGACATGTGTGTTTAAGAGATGGACACGTGTGTCCTCCAAGTGTCCATAGAGTGTCCGGGTCTTTAAAAGATAGGACACGTTATAAAGAGTGTCGAACACGTGTCGGGAAAGTGTCCAAAGAGTGTCGGTGTCCGACACGGACACGACACGGATACGTTACCTTTTTAGAAGTGTCCGTGCTTCTTAGATAATAATTAAGAATTGAACTGGAATATAATTAAATTAAAATTAGATTAACATGTTAGGAATTATAATAAATAATTAAATATTTAGGATTAATTATGATACAAAATATAATTAAAGTAAAATTAGAATAAAAAGTTAAGAATTACAATAAATAATCAAGAATTTATAATTAATTGTGATTTAATTAAATTAATGTTAGACATTATAAATTATGTGTATTAGAGAAGAGAGAGAGAGAAAATGACAAAAAAATATAGGGTTTGAGGGTATTATAGTCATTTTACATTTATAATTAATGGTGTTAACGGTTACACTTTAATTCAAAACCATATGAGGGCTTTCTGGCTATATTTGAACGATAAAGGGGTCAAGTGCTCTGGCCTCAAACCACAAGGAGGTAAAATGAATTTAACCCTAAATACAATACAACTATAGGGGCCACATGGCAGGGATAGAGAAAGGAGGAAGATCGAGGTGAAAGGGAGTCCGTAGGATCTTTAAAGAGGAAGAGATAGCCATTCAGTAGAAGAAGAAGAGTGAGGGGAAGAAACTCAAGAAGAAAAGGAAGGAAAAGTAAACGAGATTCATAAAAATGAAATGTCTAGAAACATTCTGTTTATTAGTAGATAAGTCAATGCTAGGATATATATTCTCAAGCCTTCATCTTTTTCTCTATGGTAAGCTGAGTACGCAGAAGTCTCTAATCTTCTTCTTTCTAGGGTTCTTTGTATTTACCTTGCGTGAATTTGAAAGGAATGGAATCGAGAAATGCATGTTAACCCAATGTTAACCCCAAGGGTTTGGCCTAGTGGGTGTAGCTTGGGGGTGTGTTTCCTTCCAGGTGTTAGGTTCAACTTCCACTAGGTGCTATCAACTCCCTGGGGCCATGCCCGCGGGTTCTACTCGAGATTTGCCCGATCTACGTGGAGGGAGCGTTTTGTGTGGGTCTCGGGATTAGTTGAGGTGTGCGTAAGTTGACTTGGACACTCGGTTATCAAAAAATAAAAATGTATCCAATGTTCAATTATCTTAAACTAAAATTTGAAAAATTGGTTAATAGATGGGATTTAGATAAAGATGCTATTTCCTTTATGTCTGAAACCTTGGTATAGGTCTAAGTCACAGTTCTATTTCATAGAATAAATATTGTTAAGAGCTCTATGGTATGAAAACAAACAAGTTTGTGACGTTGAACTAGGCTTCCGATAGATAAGATAAAATCGAAAAATACAATATACATGTGGCTATGTGCATCACATGGTAGGGATAGAGAAAGGAGGAGGACCAAGGATGAAAGGTAGTGTGTAGCCATTCAGTAGAAGAAGGAGAAGAGTTAGGGCAAGAAACACAAGAAGAAAAAGAAGGAAAAGGAAAGAGAATTCATCAAAAAGAAATGTCTATAAACAAACCATTTATTAGTAGACAAGTCAATGCTAGGGTATATGTTAAGAAGCAAGAACACGGACATGAGATACAGTGATTTCAAAAAAATGAGGACATAGACACGGCGGGGACATGAGAATAAAAATTATTATATATATGTAGACTAATATTACATTCACAAACAATTAAAATTAATTTTTTTTTTATACTAATTCAAAATAATAAAAAGATCACTTTTTAAAAAAAAATAAAGTTTATTGCTCATAGCATCAAGACGATGCAAAAAATACAAAAAAGAGCCCTGAAAAGGGGAAAGACCGCATAACCAATCAAATCATTCAAGAAATCAAAAAAACAAACAAATCCAGATCCACCCTCCTTGTAACCCAACTATACAAAACTGCAAAAAACCTATTCTCTAACCATGAGACAGACCGAGCCACCTCCTAAAAAATATGGCGATTCCGTCCCAACCAAACCAGCCACATTAAGCACAATAGGGCCATGGCCCAAGCCTTCCACCGCCTCCCAACTCGACTGTGAGAATATTAGGTTAGGCAGTGTTTTTTTTTTCCTGAAAGATTGAATAGGTGTATATATATGGCAGTGTTTCCTTTAGGTTAGGTTTATATATATGGCAGTGCTTTAGGTGTATATATATAACAGTGTTTTCTTTAGTCTTGGGGTTAGGTTTACTATATAATCAGATGTATTCTTTGTATTATTATACAATTGAATATATAGAAAACTTTCAGAAATCTTACATGGTATCAGAGTTAGGTTTGAAACCCTAGTGCCGTTCGCTCTCAGATTCTTCTTTGCTATTCCAGATTTGTTGGCTTTGCCTCTCTCTAGGTCGACTCCTCTGTGACGTAATTATTTTGACGTAATTATTCTCTGTCGCTGCTTCTCTTGTTCGAAGACTTCTGGTTCATCTATCTCTGGTTCGCTGGTTCTCTTGCTCATCTTCGTCTCTTGTTAACCCATCTGGTCGTCGTCTATTCAGTTCCGTAGGGCTTCAGATTTCGCCTTCGTTGCTATTGACCTCTCTGGTTCTCTCTCTCACTTCAACTCGCGAGGACCATCTCTCTCTCTTTACTTGGACTTTGGTGATCGAATCTGTGTTTGATTTGCTCGACTTCTATTTTGACTTCGGATGTGTTCAGTGGTCTTCTCCTCTCTATCTCTCTGATTCTGGTTATCAGTTTGGTTTAATACACCCGGTTTTAGGTTTATTACAGATTGACCCCAGCATCTTTCTGTTTATTATACCTTGCCCATCAGTTCTCTTCTATTTTGTTTTGGTTTATTACAATGTCAGATAATCAGATTGTTAGGTTTAGAAATAGGCTGCTGGCTTCAGATGAGTGTGCTTTCTGTCATCAGAAAGGCCATTGGAAGTATCACTGTCCCAAGAAAGGACGTCTGCCTGTCACGTCCTCTCAGCAGTCTCAGACCCAGTTTTACTCTTCTCCTTCGAGTAAATTTTCAGGCTCCCGCTACTTATACTGCATCTACTCTGGTCCTTGATCTTGACTTGGCCTCCTTGAGTGCTCCGATTGCTTAGCTTTTGCATATATTGTCTACCTTTCAGCCCTTTCCGTCTGCCGTAGTTGCGTTCTCTCTTCATTCAGGTTTGCTTGGGTCTTGTGCAAGTATCTCTTCGTCTGTTTGGATTTTTGACGCTAGTGCCTCTCATCATATGACTCCCCATCTCTTCTTATTTCAAAATTGTACTCCTCCTCCCTTTCTTGTTACTGTCAATGCTGCTAATGGGTCTGATATGTTTGTTGGGTTTGTCCTACCGTTTGCTATGTCTGCTGTTTCTATTCCATCTGTTTTATATGTTCCTTAGTTATCTGTTAGTTTATTATCTATCAGTCAGCTTGATGCCTTCGATTTTGATGTTATCATTGCTTCTTCTATTTGTTCTATGCAGGATCAGATGTCCAAGCGGTAGATCGGGACTGGCTGTAGAATTGGAGACCTCTATGTGGTGGAGAGCTTGCATCTGCCTATGACTACCTCTCTGACTGCCTTTTCCTCTTTCTAGTTAGAGTCTCTGTCACTGTCAAGTCCTTTCTATTTGTGACATTCCTGATTAGGGCATTTGTCTGCTGACCGCCTACGGTCGTTAGCTCAGTCAGGTATATTAGGTAAAGTTTCTCCTAGTCAACTTAAAAAATGTTGGGAGTGTAAACTTGCCAAAATGACAACTTTACCTTTCCGTAAAGGTATTTTTATGTCTGATACACTGTTTTC